TTACATAGAGTTCAATTTGATTATATAGGGAGAGCCACTTATTCTAGCTGAAAGCATATACTAGTTTAATAAGTATGTTACAAGTACAATTGTTATATGCTACGGAAGGAGTTTCTGCAACTTTATATAATATATTTAATACACCACAAAAAACATTTACTAAATTTTTTATTGAGATGTATGGTTTCTCGATTAAACCGCTTTTAAACACAAAAGTACCACATAGTCCCAGAAAAGATAATCAATCATTTAATATAATTTTCTTTGTATAAACTTTAGGTCTAAAATCATATATGGCATAAGTATGTTACAAGAACAACTATTATATATTTCAGATTTAGCTTCTACAACATTATATGACATACTACACCATAAACATATACTAATCTAAAACACACCATTTCAACATTTTATGAATCCAAACATAGTCTGTAAATAAGCCCTTGGTTAATGTACGAGGAGGAGGTCAGGTACAAAGAATCTGCACCATCTACTGTCCTCAATGGTGTTACCTCAATCTTCCTCTTCCTCCTTCTTCCTTATTCGACAATGAATGTAACGTCCGTGAACCAAAAAATGGATTTTTGGTTGGTGCGTCGATCGACACAGGTTGAGTGTGTCAGTCGACACACGTGTTTTGGACTTGTGAGAAGTCGTGTTCTGGGCGTTGCGTCGATCAACACAAAGGGTGTGTGTCGATCGACACGGGTTGCTTTTGAACCGACAGGTTCGATTTTAAATTGTTCGGTTCGCGTGGTTGGTTAGGAAAAGCCCTATGGGCAGTATAAAAAGGGAGCAGAAGTGTTTAGGCTGCAGTTTTGGGCAAAAAACACTCAGAAATCAAAGTGGAGAGAGAGAATTTTCGTGGGTTATGAGAGAGAAGAAAAGAATGTCGTTTTGGAGACAGTTCTGGCTATTCTAGAAGAGTAGAGAAATGAACAGTCTAATCAGATCAGATTGGAGTGAAACTTCTAGGGTAAGTTCTCCACTCTCGTATCTATCTTTGGGCGAAATCGGTTTGTCATTTGGATTAGTATTGTGAGAGTTATGGTTGCTTTTCCGAGAGAGATTCGTGCAGAATGGATATGCGATCAGTCTACTTCGTGGGAGTTTTCCTGTCGAACCAGAAGGAATTAGGAAGCGATCTATATTGAGTTGGAAAGGTCTCGGTCTCACGATTCCAGATCATGTTTTCGATCATGATTCCAAGATACTCTCCGTTCTCAGCGTGTTTTCGAAGTCGGCTGATTGTTTATGTTTTCATGAACCCTAATCCGTTTTAGGGGAAACTCCAATTAGTTTGGTTAACCA